AGCCTACAGCTTCATCAAGAGACAGTATCCTCCCTGTCATATCCTCTTGTTTTGTACATCTTACAATTCCTTCTTCTCAGTTGTGTTGTGGGGACAGGAGATATGGAGCTCTTTTGTCCCACATGCTACTTCAAGATGACCAACACACTCTTCTTTGGCGGCCATGATCCACTCAGCCTGCTCTTTGGTTTGCTCCCCTCACACAATCTCCAATAAACAGTTGTTTGCATTGGGGGGGACAGGTATGGTGATGAACAGGCAGAAGTGGTGCACTGATTGTGAGATTTGGATCTTGCATTGAGGCTGGCAGCATGAACAATCTGAACGCCATGCCAGGGCAGCCAGAGAGAAGTGTATGCTTGCTTGCTTTTGCTCTTTGCTCTTTGTGAGCTAATGTAAACACTTTTGTTAACAGGCGCAAATGAGAAGCTGGCCACAGAACAGTGATCGCTCAAGTGAAAGCGCCAGGCCAGCAACAAGGGAGACAAAGGTGACAACAACAAGTGTGACAGAGTTTTCAGCTACAGTGAGGAAGAGAAGGTCAATAGAAGTGAGAGTGAGGTTGAGAGCAAGGTCAAGGTCAAGAGCGAGGTCAAGGTCAAGAGCAAGAGTGAAGAAACAATAAATGATGTTGAGGACACACAAGGAGACAAGCTGGAGGACAAGGATGATGAGCAAATGGAAGATGAGGCGATTGTGGCCATGGCAGCCATCAACACTGAGAGGGCTGACAATGATGATGATGCACACATTCCAGAGGACTCAATGGGTCCAGCAATGGAGGAAGAGCTTAATGAACACAATCTGCCTCCAGTACGTTTGCTGTTGTTATTACCTTTATTCTTACTGACCTCCTATGTTCACTTCTAAAACATAGGCACATCACAGGCGTGTAGCGCAAAGACAGGGAGCCATAGAGCACACAATAGCAGACCCAAAGAACAAGGCACTCTACAAGCACATGCAGTGCAATGATGCCACTGAGTGTGTGATGGAGGACCTGCTTTGTATGCATTGGAATCCACTGTTCTGTTTCAGGATGATCACCAAGAGTGTCCATGTGCTGAGTGAGGCTGGTCAGGTACACCACAAACAACATTATTTTTGTTGTTTTTGTCATTTTCAGTGATTGACTTGTGTGCAGATGATGTACCCACCAGTTGCACAGTGTTGGGCTTGTGTTGGTTGGGGGACGCTCAACTTTGTGTCCCCAACCAATGTGATCTGCAATTGCTACAAGCTCAAGGTAGACTTGAGCAACAAGCACTTCTGTTTCAAATGGAGTGCAAGGCTCAAGCACCCATGCAACTGCAAACGATTCAAGCAGTGTGAACAGTACAACACCCCACAAAAACCCTCAATACTAACTTACTAACTTCATGTTTGTCTTAAGTTACATGTGGAGCAGGGCCCACATGCAAGGGTGAAGGCGGAAGGACTGCCAGCTCATCCTTCCCATTTTTTATATCAACATGTTCAAGCAAAGTAGATCAAGAAACCAAAGTGTCATTGGGATCTACATGTCCTTCACCAACATGTCAATGGACGAAATGGAGATCACCAAGTCAAGATACCTCCTCTGCCTTGTGCCACAGGACATCAACCTCTTTGACGCCTTGCAGATCGTCATCATTGCACTGATGCACCTGCTCAAGCGCAGATACAACGTCTACTTCAAGGCTGACAACACCACACACCACTGCTACAGCTCCGTCTACTGTATCCTCAGTGACCATCCCTTGCAGGCACTGTGTGCCAGTACGTTCATCAATTGTTTGGTTTGTCTTTCTTCAAGTTAACTTATGTTTTATTCATGTCACAGGATTAGCACAGGGCGGCTGGGGGTCGTGCCAATACTGCCACAACCTCTCAGCCTTCTTCCACGAGGTGGAATGGCCAATCAAGGTTGGTGGCTGAACGGTGCACTGGCCCCAGCGACGCGGCAACTACTGGAGTGTCTATGACGCTCACGTCGCGACACTCAAGGACTCCAATGAAGGAGTCTGTGGCAAGGTTGGCCCCGCCAATGAGAAAATAAAGGTGCATGGCTGGGGCCAACAGGTAAGCCCATTTTGGGAGCTCCTCTGGATGTGCGAATAGTTTTACAATTGCTTTGGTATCTGTCTACTGCATATTGAGCACCTTGGTCTTCTCAAGGTGCATCAACCCAATCCTTACACAACTTTTAACTTTATTAACTTCTTCTTCATTCAAAGAGACACTTGCAGTACACAAGCACAGTGCATGGGCTTGAGGAAGAGCTCAACAAGGTGTTCAAGGCTTTCCCACCATTCCCAGGAAAGCAGAGCTTTGCAAACCAGACGCAGATCATCCAGCGTAATCCAAACGTACATTTTCCTTTTTCTTTCTTCTCTGTTCTTCTCTGTGCAACACTCACAGCCGTCATTGCATACGACACACGCATGACCAACAGACACACACACGACCAATGGACACGCGCACAACCAACGGACGCACACGCGCACGCACACATGCACACACACGACCAACGACACACAGGGCAAGGTGGTGGTGGGGCTGACAGGAGGCGAAATGGACAGCTTCCTGCAGGTCGCTGAGCTCCTGTTCAAGGAGCGGGTGAGCAATCCACAGGAGCGTGAGTGCTGGCAAATCCACATCAATATCGTCCACCTCCTGCAGCAGGAAAGCTTCAATGCCAACAACCTCAAGAAGCTCAAGAAGCTGACCAAGAGATGGAAACATCTCATGGTCAAGTTCTACGGCGGCGTTGCTGAGCGGCAGTGAGCGACGAGCTTGAAGAAGACGTGGTCGAAGAAGTGGTTGAAGAAGCAGTCGCGGATGGCTGAGACGGTGGCCAGCGACATGACAACGAGTGGAGAGAAGCCACTCAGCTTCAAATTTCCAAACTTCGAGGTCGCACAACACTGGCCAGAGTTGATTCACTTCCTCGGGCCCCCATGGGTGCAGGACACGCGCCTGTGGGAGCAGCAGCACCTCGCGGCGAAGATGACCGCGCATAGGATGAACCAGATCAACACCGAACGTGCAATTCTTGTGAAGGTACGGCTTTGTTGCATGTTTTTTAACATTTGCTAACCTCTGGTTTTGTTGTTAAGACGCACCAAAAGGACACCGTCATTCGCCACCGAGCATACACTGGGCTGCCCCACATGAGCTCTGTGGATGGGTCCTGGAAGGAACCCTACACACTCAGTGTTCATGGCACAACAACCAGCATCATGAGGGACCGCAGGCGCAACCTCTTTGACACAGTCAGCCGTGAGCTGGGCGAGGGCGTCCAGATAGTGGATGACATCACCTCACACAAGTTGGCCCACTACTATGGCCACTTCCTGTGACCAGGCGATGGGATCGCCTTGCATGTTCCCGAAGACTATCCAAACGTACGATAGTGTGCTAGTGTTGTGTTTTGCTTCTCATTACTAATTCTTTATTTAATTGTAGATATGGTTCATCATCGACAACTCACAACACGCCATCCTCGACGAGTCCAAGACGCAGTGTGTCGTGATCGGAAGGATATCTCGTCTGCTTCACATTGCCTGCGACAATGTGGTGAAGGCGTGGGTCGAGCTCGAGCTTGGCGATCTGCGCAGTGTCAGTGATGGCTTTCTCAAGTTCTGGCTCAGCCAGCGACGGTTCTACCTTCCCTTTGGGTGGAATGGATGGACCGTCACCAAGCGCGTCCACCTCGTGCAACAACATGCGGGCTTGCTCTATAACCATCACATTAGGTGGCACCTGGGCGACAGGTGGGCCACACCGGCGAGCGGCGCACAACCAGCAGCGTGGAGCACGACCAGCACGATCGGCGGCGCGGAGCACGACCAGCACGACGACTAGCGCCACCAGCACGACGACCAGCGGCGCGGAGCACGACCAGCGCGACCAGCGGCGCGGAGCACAACCAGCACGACGACTAGCTAGGTGGACAGGAGGTGGACAGGAGGTGGACAGGAGGTGGACAGGTGAAGATGGAATTGTCCACCTTTTTCAATACAACCATTCGACCTACTCAAGGTGGAAAAAGGTGACCTCAATGTGCTGGCTTTTGGTGGTTTTTCCCGTCTTGTGAAAGGTGGAAAACAGCTATCTTTTTCCCACCTACTGTCCCGGCAGTGAAGGCGAGGTCGCCGCGCCGGGCGGCCGAGGCACAGGTGCGGTAGTCCCACGGGCACCCGTTGGTGCGAGCCCACTCGAGCACGGCGAGCCGGCCCTCAGCGGCCAACCGGGCGCAGAACTGCTCGTCTAGAAGATGGTGGGGAGCTGGGGTGCTCGTGGCGGTGCGGTCGACGTCTTGTGGCCACCCCGTTACCTCCCTGCAGAGGTCGAAGCTGGCGCTCCAGTGGCGAGACACAGCGAGGCGGCGAAGTAATCCGCCAATGCCCGAATTCTTGTCTGTTTTTCCTGTTTGATTTCTTTTTGCCCCACCAGGAGTGTGTTACAGATCACACAAGTTGGGTCACCGGCACGCAATGACGGGAGAAGTCACAAACCAGTCCGGCCACTTGCCTTGTGGAGGTGGAGTCGACTAAGTCTACTTCTAAGTGGTGCCCTAGTGACCTCGCGAACCGTGTCACGGTGGCGTTGTGCTCCACTCAGGAATTGGAGAACGAAGCACCACCTCGCCTATACAAACAGGGTTGGCGCCCTTCCCTCCTTCCTCCTCAACGCAACCTCACCACTCATTCGCACCATGAAGCTGTACACTGTGGACATCACACTCCTCTTGCTCGGTCTCCTTGCTCTCGCTCTCGGTACCACCACTCCTCTGAGACCAGCGCTATCCCAGATCTTGGCTGACATCTAACAACTTCCCAGCTGTGGAGGGCCACGACCAGCATATCTTGGACAATGGCCGGTGCTGTGGTGAACGTGATCCGGGAGAGGTTGAAGAGGAAGGCGACTACTACTGGAAGTGCTTCAAGGTGTGCCACACCCACAGGGACTCGACCACCGCTGAGCATCCCTGCACCACTACGCCCGACCACGAGAAGCCGCCGTGCACCACCACCGAGGCCCACAGGACTACCACGGCCAGCTCGGGGAGCGGTCAGTGTGCCAACGGCCAGTGGCAAGATCGGAACGGGTGCTGCCCGCGTAAGATCGCCCACACGTTCTTCTACCCGGACGGCCACGGCTGCTACCCGATCGCGACCGAGGCCGGCGTCAAGTACGCCGATGGACAGGGCGTCCTGCCCGACCGGCTCGGCGAATACCTCAAGGCCGGCGAGCCGTGCCCTGAGGACCGCAAGTGTAAGAAGGAGTGCGACAGGGTGTGATTGGCTGAGTGACAGGTGCAAGTTTGAGATTATTTTAGATATATTCGAATTCAAAAGAATGATGAAGGGAAAGCTCTTTAGAGGTGGTGATAGCCGTGGCGACGGCAGCAGAGGCAGTAGATGAGTCCCAGGCAGGCGGCACCCAGGCAGCACAGGCCGACCACGCCGCCCACCACGATGCCGATGATGGCGCCTACGCCCAGCAGCACGTCGTCGATCTCCTGTACGCAGCAGGTGTTGATCAGCACTGTTCTAGATGGAGATAGAGATGGCGCATGGGTCCGGGCTGAGACGTACGCTGGGGCAGATATTGTGGGTGTAGTATTTGTAGTTGCAGGAGTCCGGCTTCTTGCAGTCCTTCTCGGTGCAGTTCTCGCAGTAGCCTTTGCTATCGCTATCGCCGCACCATCCGCAACTGGAGCTCTATGTTGTCAATCACAGGCGCGCATGTGAGATCACCACGCCCCATCGGAGCGCAACCCGCCGCATACCTTGCACTGGCCGCAGTTGATGGCGAGAGCGCAGTTGGCCACCGCCGCGGTCGGTTCGTCTTCTGCCCGGACAGATAGGCTGGTGTCGCCAGCCGCCGATGTCAAGTCGACTTCTTGTGCGTGTGCAAAGAGTGCGGCGATGACGAGCACAAGCAGTGCCAGCAGGGTCGAGCGTTGGAAGGCCATTGTTGTAGTGGTAGTTGTTTGTGTGTGTTGAGAGTATGATGGTTGTGTTGGGTGAGGTGTGATCGAGGCCATGAGCTCGGCCCGACAAGGCGCAAAGTCGCATAAGCCCGAAAGCCCTTTTCAACAAGATGCCCACCGGAATGCGTTCTCACGCCGTGGTCGGTGGTCTCAGCCCTGAAAACCCAACGACGCGCCTTAGCTTGTTGCTCGCCCTCCGCCAAGAATTTCGGGAACATTTTTTTTCCTACGAAAAGGGAGTTGAAAGTTACACTGTGTTCTTGTGATTTTCTCTGGACTGACGTATATTAATAAAGCCTCCATAGTCCGTGTTGTGCGCACTCTCAACTAGCAAAGATGAAGGACCGTTCCTTCTTGCTTGGGGCTGCCCTGTTGCTGCTACTGGCTACTACTACTTTTGCTGTAGGAAAAGAGGTAGACAGGAGTGGCTGGCCTGTGCAGCCTGCCCAATGTATGTGCCGTTTCTTCACTCCTGATTTAGCAACCAACATCACTCTGAGCATGCCACACCAGGCTACCAGCAGGCACTGTTTACGGGCAGGCAGGCAGCCACCAGCAAAGTATTGGACAACATTGCCCCCAACTGGGTTGGGACCTTCAAGGTGGACAATGATGCCAATGTGGTGATCCAGGCCTCTTTCACTGCATACACATCATGCATCAACTTCCAGCCACACACTGCAACCTTCAAGCTCCTTCTTGATGGTGAAGAGGTGGGCATGACCAGCTACCATTTCAACAAGGAATTTGATCACTGTACCATCCCTTCCTTCTTGGTGAGCCTCCCTTGCATTGGAAGAGGCACACACAAGGTAGAGATCAGGATTCCTGTGGGAGCTGTCATTGATCTGAATGACTTTGCTTCCATGGTGGTCTCTGTTTGCTCCCACTGATGGTGGTGGACACATTGGCTCTATTCCTGGGACCACCAGCTGCTGTTGTGGTGGTTCTTGGCCAAAGGTTTTGTTTGCTGGAGGAGCCTCCACACGTACACAAGATGAAAGGACAACACAAAGCACGAATTGGCGGCAAACTGCAGAATGGCGTAGGTTCTGTTCTAAATGTGCAGAGGATTGATCCTTGCCAACAAATTTAATTGAGGAATTGAAGCAGAGGCAACATGACTCTTTGATTTCAGGGCGAAATAATTGAGATCACCTACCATTTGGACGTGGAGAATGTGGTGGGCATCTTGTGTCAGGATGCTGTCCACCAAAACATCATTAGGAATCGTGGTAGTAAGCCCTGCTGTGTGGGCTTTGATATGGAATGGCAGCACGAATCTGCGCCCGGGATGGACAACCCGGTGGCCCTCGTTCAGGTGGCTAGCGAGGATGTGTGCCTCATCTTCTACATGCTGCAACTCGGTAGCATGCCCCCAGCTCTCGAAGAGCTGCTTCTCGACAAGCACTTCTTGAAGGTGCGAAATTCCCTTGTTCGCCCATTTGATTGATGAATCGATTCATCAATCATTTAATTGATCCCTGTTCATGGTGCAGGTGGGACTCGCTGTGACCAACGATCTGAGAAAGCTGCACTCACAGTTCTTTCTCATCCCGCGAGGGTTGCTCGACGTCGCTACGATGGCGCGCAGGCTCAGCTACACCCGCCTGGGTCTGCAGTCGCTGGCGCAGGACCTCCTCGGCAAGCACGTAGCCAAGGGCAAGGCCTGCTCGCTTGCCTGGTCGCCCCGGACAGCTTTCATACGCCGCCACCGACGCCTTCACCACACTTCTCATCTACAAACAGCTCAAAGCGATCGAAGTCGCAGAGTGCCAGGGACACTACTGGACCATGGTGCTGGCCGACGATGAGGCGGCCATGGAAGCGGAGCTCAACGCCGTCGGCCCGCGCATCAGGGAGCTCAAAGAGAGCATGCAGAAGCTCACCCGACACAACACCAACTTGGCCGCCCAGCTGGCCACCGTCAAAGCCGAGGCCCAGCGCACCAAAGCCGCCTACGAGGCCAAGGCCCAGCGCACTCGGGCCGCCTTCCAAGCTGAGGCCCAGCGCACCCGGGCGGCATTTCAAGCCGAGGTCCAGCGGACACGGGACGCCTTCGAGGACCGTATCGCAGAAATCGAGGAACATCTGTTCTGGTGAACCAGGCCGCCTACATCACATGGACATCGGTACCATCTGCACGGTGATGGTACCCACGCCGGACGCCCTTCACCAGATCCGGCTCAAGAAGAACGAAAGAGAACAAAAAGAAAGGTGTGCAGCAAAAGAAAACGCGTTTTCTTGTAGTCGACAAAAAAGAATTAATCAACAAAAGAACGAATCACGACCAAGTTCAATTTTGTGCGCAAAGAACGAAAGCGCGAACACGCGGGAGCGCACACCTCGAGGGAAGAACGCGTTTAGGCACAAGTTCGTTAGTTCGTTCATGTCAGGCATTTTCAGGAGCGGGAGCAAGGTAGCGCCGGTCTTCGGTGGCACCATTGAGGACCCGCGCGGGCAGCAGTTCCTGGTCGACTGCCTCGACGTACTCGAAACATGCGGTAACCCCCCCCCTCCCCAAACACAGTCATTCATTTTTATATAAAAGTCATTTATAAAATAAAATAACCATCTAATTTTATTGTATGTTTCATTTGTTTATTTTTAATTTTTATTGTCGCACAGTGTCGGAGGAAGGTCTGTACCGTATGTCGGGTAGCAAGGAGGACATGACAAACGCCCACCGCGATATCAACAAGGGTACGGACCTGCGGCGCTCCCATATCGTTGCGTGCGGTGCACCGGTGTGTGTGTCGCATGCGTGTGCGATTACGCAAAGTGATCACCCATTGATTGATCGTTGTGAAGGCAAGTCTGTGGACCTGACGGCGATGGCCGCCAAGTCGGCGCACACGGTGGCGGGGCTGCTCAAACTCTACTTTCGCGAGCTCAAGCCCGAGCCTCTCATGACCTTCAATCTCTACGAGTGTCTCATCGCTGGTAACTCGCCTGTGCGGTAGTGTGTGCGGCGTGTGCGCTTGTTGTGTGTGTGTGTGTGTGTGTGTGCGGTGGTGTGTGCGGTGGTCGTGTGCGGTGACTCAGTTCGGGGGAGCAGCTTCGCAGGAAGAGTGATCGAGGAGGAGAGGCGTCGTATACTGTT